GGGCTCTCTGCTCGGCCGGGAGCCTGCTTCTCCCTCTCCCACTCCCCCTGCTTGTGTTCCCTCTCTCACTGTGTCTCTCTGTCAAATAAATAAATAAAATCTTTAAAGAAAAAAATATTATCTAGATTAAAAAGACAGCAGCAATGTATAATGAAACGCCCAGTACGTGATGTGGCCACAGCTGCACACATTTTTACATTAGCGAGCTCTTAATTTGTGGCTTCTGGAGCAATCCAGTGCCCTCGCAGAAAATTGAGGTAGTCACTTTGTTCATTGGTTGGATCGTAAGCACATTTTTTTCTTGAGAGAAAACAGGGCCGTTGCACAGAAAGATGAATTCTATTGGTCTCTGCTTAGAGGGCTCCCACTCTAAATTACACCTGATGCTAGGCCTAAGGGGATTGTATTATTTGGGTAAAAGCAAACAGATAAACCCTGGCAATTTTCACCCTTTGCTTTTCCTTCTTTGTCATTTGTTCTCAGATTCATTCCTGGCATGTGGCTCCAGCCTGGGCCATAATTTCCTCAAGTCATTAAATTCCTGGGAACTCATGGGTCCCCCATCTCACCTCGGCTGGTAGCTGACCCCAGGGACGTGTGAGTAACCCAGTCCTGAGGCCAAGTAATTTCCCATTTTTGAACTTCAGGTGTCTTAATTCAATGTCAAGAGATAAAGAAGCCAATGAAGAAATCAGATTTCTAGGAAGAGTCTCTTCTAGAGCTCTTGGTCAAGGACTCTAAGACATGGTTTTGTCCTTTCTGAGGTCTTTAGCACAAAGCTAGTGGAGAACATTTCCCAGTTCTAAGAGATGATGCAATGATGTTGTCTCCGACCTCACCCCATGCAAAAAATCACTTAGAGACAAGTGCCAAGACTGGAACTCAACACTGAAAAGTCTTTTCCAGTTCTTAGCAACCTTTTCCACGCTGCATGCTGTTCCCTTTGTGTGCCTCCATCTTTCCAGGGATTTGGTTTCCAGGTTAAAGAATCAGAAGCAGATTATGGCTGGAAGAGGCCCTAGTTACTATCTAGCCAGCCTCCCCTGTGCAGGTGGGAAGACAGAAGTCCACTGAGGGAAACTACTGGGGTCTGAGGCCGAGCAGAGATGCTGCAGAGCCGGGCAGGACAAAGTGCCAAGCCACCTGGTCTTTTCCCTGCCCTGGCGCCTCCCTCTGCTGTCTGTGCTTTCATCTGGATTATGCAAATCTGGAGTCAGGTTCCCTCCTAGTCTCTAAGGTATTCAAATTGGGAATAAGGGAACTGTGGGTACCCCATTGCCTGGCCTCTTTCAGCAGCAGCTGAAACAGTGGAAGCTTGCAGCACAGAACAAACTTATTCCTCCAGCATCTTCTTCCATGTGGCCTGGGACCAGGAACCAAATGGGAGCTCTAACAATTCTAAGATTCTAGGAATCTGAAATGTTATCATTGTGTATTTTACAGCCTGTCAGATTGCATTCTATCTCACAACTGGCTTGAGATCTTTCTGAACAAAGGGCATCTCACTTCTATCTCAATCCCTACATGTTAAGAGCTCAGCAGTATTCTGATAAATGAACAAATGAGCTTGGTTTTGGAAGGCCTGGATCTGAGTCTTGGATGAGGCTCTAAGAGCTGTGTAAACCTCCGTTTCCTGATCTGGATGAAGGGTGAGCTATTCCCACCCTGGCCAGCACATAGGTCAAGCAATTGGTGAACTGTGAATAGTGAATGATGGTCCCCACACATCAGGGGGTGTGCAAGCTGCAGGCTCTGCATTTCCTCAGCCCTTGTTTATCCTTGGCTCCCTAGGGTGTCATAGTTACTGTAGCACACAATGTGCAGGATACTTGGAAGAGCAGTAGGGTGAAGCGGTAGGGGAAGCAGGAGGGTGGAGACCCCTGAAGGCCTGGGTGGCTGTGATCTGGGCCTGAGCCTCCCAGCCTGCCCTTTCCACTCAGGGTCACTACCCAGCCCTGCCTCCCCAGCCCAGCTCTGGGCCCTAGAACTCTCTCTTGGGACTCCCCTCCTCCCCAGTCCTGGCTCTTGGCTCCCGGCTCAGCTGCCATGGAAACAAGTGCCAGGTGACAAAAGATAGTGCTGGGTCCTGTTTCCTCCTGGTCCTGTTGATGAGGATTTTCAGACCACAGAGACTGAACTGCTCTGCATCGACCTGGGCTCTTTCTGTGTGCTCTCTCAGGCCGAATTCAAGCTTCCATCCCTGCCAGCAGGACCATGTCTACCAGCCTGACCACTTGTGAATGGAAGAAAGTCTTCTATGAGAAGATGGAGGTGGCCAAGCCGGCCGACAGCTGGGAACTCATCATAGATCCCAACCTCAAGCCCAACGAGCTGGCCCCAGGCTGGAAGCAGTACCTGGAGCAGCATGCCTCAGGCAGGTGAGCAGCCCAGACGGGAGACGCCTGCAGGCAGCCTTGGGGGCATCTTCCAAGGGGAGGCAGAGAGATACATGGAGCCTGGTCCTGGGGTCAGCTCAGGTTAGGGGGCAGAGAGGGAACTTCCAAGCAGGTCAAAGAGGCCTGGGTTCTAATCCCAGCTGTACCACTGACTGCCTGGGTGACCTTGGCAAGTTGTGTTCTGTCTTTGGGTCTTGGTTTTCTACTAAACGAAGAGCTATAATGTCCCTACAATCTCTGACATTTTAGATGTTTTCACATTTTCATAATCTCTTAAAGAATGGTAGGGCCTGAGGGGAGGAGGCCATGAGGTCCACTGAGAAAACCTTTTAGCTTAGGGTTGGGGCCTGTGCTCTGGTCCTAGGTCTGTTTAGTCAACTCAGTCCAATTTGATCTGAATACAAAAACATTCATTGTCCACCTGCTATGTTCTGGAAACTGCCTTTATGGCTAACTAATTCTGTGAACTTGTGAAAAGTCTCTTTCCCTTTCCGGGCCTCAGTTTTTACATTTGCAAAACCAGGAAGTTGGCCTTGGGTGACCAGTTAAGACCCTTCCAGCTTTATTGTCTATGGGTCTGTGACAAAAAGACTTAGCTTTGGACACAATTTCCCTTAGGTCTGTAAAGCCCAGTGTCCTACACCTTACAGGAACCTCATGTTTTCCACAGTGCAAGGAGTCCTTGAGGCTAAGGGGACATATCCATCTGAAGCCCACATGCCTCTCCTTCTTCTAGACTGTGATTTGGAATCAGGACCACAGAATTCCCTGTCCAAGCTGCCTCAGACTCACCTTCAGGGCCTATGCAGTCCTCTTCCCTGAGTCCACTGATTCAAGGACAGATAGTACCCCAAAGGCCCCCAGGGAGGCCAACAGGTGGCTGTGTTTTGGGGGTGTGGACACACAGAACTTGGACACACACACTGGGTAGTTCATGCATGTTTGTATGGTGCAGCATGCTGCTGGGGGTGGCAATAGGAGGCAGGCTATTTCTGTTTGTACTCTTGTTCTAAGACCTGTAAATATTAGAGTGAACTTGTCTTCGGGACAAAAGACAGAGAGGCAGAGGTTGGTTGGTTAATTTCAATTTGCATCAATTCCAGAGACATTATTGTGCACCTGTTATATGCTGGGTCCTGGCTCGGTCTCTGGCTAGCTGTACATGGATGGCTCTCTTCCTCTCTGCTTCCGTTTCATCTCAATAAAATGAGGTTGACTAGATGATCCTTAAAGTCCCCTTGCACTAGGTCTGCTGTTTTGAAATTTAAGATCTGAGTTCTAGCTTGAGGGAGAGGAAACAACTCTGGATTGGCTTGATTAAAAAGATGTAGAAGAAGGAGAAAGAACACATGAAGCTCCTGAGCTGCCTGTTGAGAGGAATGCAAAGGGCTGGGAACTTGGGCCCAGGAGGCCAGGGGCCCAGGGGATGAGGGGCTGAGCTCCACGGGCTCGTGGCTGCTCCCTGCCTCAGGTCTCACCTGGTCCTGCTCCTGGCTGGTGGCCTGTGGCTTTCAGCTGGCCTCAGGCAGGCCTTCAGGACTGCTGCTGTTGTGTTATTCTGTGCACAGGCTCACTCTCCCTGGAAGTCGTAGGATGCGTTAATCCTGGTGCCCCACAACTCTGGCCCAACGTGAGTGGGGACCCCCTTCTGGCTTAGGACCAATCAAGCTGCTCTGCTGGCCAGCCTGGCCTTGGCCTATGCTGGGTATTGTTCTGTGCTTATGTTGTCTGTGGGATCCAGGCCTCAGGGGCAGGCTTGGCTTCATCTCTACCCCCACAGCCTGGACTATGTGGTGCTTGGCATAAAGTAGGTGCTAAGTGGTGTCTGTTGGACTGAACTGAATTCCTCATCAGAGGTCCTTTGGGCCATTGTACAGGGGACCCAGAGACATTCAGCAGTGAGGGCAAACTTGGCCCAGTAGACCCTCAAGTGTAAAGCTGTTTTAACAGGTTCTGGAAGAGTTCCTCTCAGGATGGAAGGAACTGGCCTGAAGGTAATGAGTGCTCCATCACTGATGGTGTGCAAGCACTGGACGGGGGCTGAGGGAGTGGGGCCTGGCTAGATGAGTCCCAGACTACTTCCTTCCATTATCCTGAGGCTGGGACTCTAGGGGGCCCACTTTGTCTCAAGTGTGGCCTGTGTGTATGTAAGTGTGCATATGTAAATGTGTGTGGAGGAGGATGCAGACTAGGATCCTCTTTTCCAGTCTCTGTGGCAGGGCTAGAGTGGGGTCTAGGGATGACTTGTCAAGGGTTAAGAGAGTGTTCTTTATGAAGGTACAGGGACCAAATTCCGTAGCCCTCCCCCTGTTGGCCCATCACCCATCCACCAGTCCATCTGGTGGATTCTTGGTGGTCAGTCTCTGAGTTATTCTTGGTGGCCTGTGCTCAGTAGTTCAAGGCATCTCCTTTTCTCCCCAGAGCAGGCAGGATGCGTGAGTGAGACAGGTAGAGGCAGGGAAGGTCTGAGTGAAAAGAGCCTTACTGGACACCATCACCCTGCAATTCACAGATGCAAAATAAGGCCCAGATTTTGGGAGTGAGCCCTGTGCACGTACAGGTGCATGGCTTGAGTTCATTAGGCTTAGGGGAACTGAGGCCACAGGAAGGTGTGCAGGAAGCAGGCTGGAGAGACTGCTAGAAGCCAGGCTCCTGAGGACACTGCTCCAGGCCCAGGGGAGCTCACTGGGAGGAGGCAGAGCCTGTGGAGCGCTAAGGAACCCAAGGGACAACCAACAAGCAGCCTTTACCTCCAGGCACAGGCAGGCAGGACCCATTCTTTCTGGGCTCCTCCAGGGCAGGCTGTCGCTGGCAGGGAGGCCGACCCTCTCCATCCTTCCCTCCCCTCCCCGCAGGTTCCACTGCTCCTGGTGCTGGCACACCTGGCAGTCGCCCCACGTGGTCATCCTCTTCCACATGCACCTGGACCGCGCCCAGCGGGCGGGCTCGGTGCGCATGCGCGTCTTCAAGCAGCTGTGCCACGAGTGCGGCACGGCGAGGCTGGATGAGTCGAGCATGCTGGAGGAGAACATCGAGAGCCTGGTGGACAACCTCATCACCAGCCTGCGGGAGCAGTGCTACGATGAAGACGGCGGCCAGTACCGCATCCACGTGGCCAGCCGCCCGGACGGGGGTCCGCACCGCAGTGAGTTCTGCGAGGCCTGCCAGGAGGGCATCGTGCACTGGAAGCCCAGCGAGAAGCTGCTGGAGGAGGAGGCGACCACCTACACCTTCTCAGGAGCCTCCAAGCCAAGCGCCCAGGAGGGTTCGGGCTACAACTTCTTCTCCCTTCGCTGGTGGCTAATTGGGGCCTCCCTCTGCCTGCTCATTGTCTACCTGCAGTTCTCCTTCCGCGGCTCTACCTTCCTTTAGTGGAGCCGCGCATGTGGGGTGGGAGTGGGGGAGACCATTCTGGTTGTGATTCTTCTGCAGAGTCAACATATGCTCGAGACAGCTCTCTCTGGGCCTCGGTGTATTCCTCTGCAGAATGGGAAGTTTGTTCTAGGGGATATTTCATGGTCTTTCCATTAAAATTTACAAAGAGGGTCTAAGGAGGATTTAGGCTTGGTGGAAGTACTAGTCTTCTCCCTCCACTTCCTCCGCCTCCATCTCTACCCCACCTTTCACTCCATTTCCATTTCCCACACCCCATTAGGACCCTAGTAGATCCTGTCGTGCCCTGACCTCATCTCAAGTTCGTGTTCAGCTGCCTCTGCCCTGCCACGGTTCCCCTTGGAGTAGGCAGTGATCCCACCCTATACATCAATACTCAGTGCATCTTGATTTAGTCCCTGTCTTGGAGAGTCTGCTCCCACCATTCTGAAAGTTTCAGATTTTGACTTTGGTGCTAGAACTGCACTGTCGAATTTGGTAGTCACTAGTCATGTGTGATTATCTAAATTTAAATTAATTAAAATGAAATAAAATTAAAAATTCAGTTCCTCAGTTGCACCAGCCACGTATCAAGTTCTCAGTAGCCATATGTGGCTAGTGGCTACCATACTGTGCTATGCAGATATAGAACATCATCACAGAAATTTCTACGGGACAGCACTAGTCTAGATCTTGAAATTCCCACTTAAATGTGTGTGATCTCATAAAAATCAGAGGGGGACTCAGGTTTAAAGGGGTGCATCATGGAGCCTTTTGGGGGCAGGGACAGGTAGGGATGTGGTGTGTTAGAGATACACAAATAAAGCTGTAATCTCTGTGTTTCTGGCTGTCAGTGGATTGGAATTTGTGGGTCCCAGTGTTGTCTAAACTTATTTCCTGGGAGAGGACCTATTGAAATTCACTACAAGATGATGGCACTCTCTCTCAATCTCTCTTGCTTTCACTGTGTGTATGTGGGCGGGGGAGGGGGGTGTCTTGGAGAATACATTCCCGTGTTTTGAAGAAATGTGTGAGCTACAGCATCACTAATTACACAATGCAGGGAGATGTTCCTCTGTCATCCTTAATGAAAATACCTTTGCAGCCAATTCTATGGATCTCCTTGTTCCTGGGGAAGGCTCCTGAGAAGGGGCATATTAGGCAGATCTGGAATCTTTCAGGTGACAGTGGAGTTATGTGTCTCCATTCAGGGGAGGTGATGACCAAGGGGAAGCATGAGTAGTGGAGGCAGACAGTACTTGTCTTCTAGCAATGTTCTCCTTTTCTGAGTCCGTGAGACTACCCCATTACAAGGAATGGATTTGCTGTGCCCATTCCCTTAGGCATAGCTGTGACTTGGGCAATTTGACTCATGGTTTGGTGTGAGATGACCCTGTGTTTATTATTGTCTGGAATAGGAAACAGAAACTCTCCTATTCACACTCCTAATTCTTTCCTGACATTCACAACTTTCTACAGCCCACCCTTAGAGCATCTATCCCAAGTGGTCCCTGAGAACTGAAGATGAGGTTCAAGGCTGGTGTGTCCAACTAGCTATGTTTCCAGTGGTGGGCTGATTTGGACACTGTGTCCCACCTGCCCACTGTATGTCAGACTGGCTTTACTCTTCTCCAGCTTTAGCAGGGGGGTTCTGGTGGCTTGTCTGGATTCCCCCTCTGGACCTGTAGGAGCAGAGAGCCCGGTAACCTGGATGAATCTACCTCTCTTTGGTTGGGTACGCTACAGGTACAAGAAGGGCAGCAGACTGGAGCATTTGTGAACTGGGGGTACGTGAAGTTGTGTTCACCTCTGTTAGCTACAGAGAATGCTCAAATGGGTCTGTGTAGAGTGTGTGTCCCATAGGGTGCTGCTCAACTGCAGACAGGTGGTAGCTTCTGGGGGTCAGCCACTTTTCTGCCTGTCTGTCACCTGCTCTGGATGTTGCATGTTGCACCCTCTCCTGGAAGATTCTGTGACAGCACTTGTTCCTCATCCTCCCCCTTCTGTTTCCTCCCTGTTGTGATGTTCCCTCTCTCGCCCATCCCTTACACGCTGGGGTTCCCCTGGAGGCTCTCTGTTGTTCTTCCTGGGTAGCACGTACCTGCTCACATAGTAGGTTCTCATGCCTGGGGACTCCCAGTCTTTGCAGCTCTAGGAGGCCTGCTACCACACTCCAGGCCCACAGACCAATCGACCTGATCCCTGGGAGTTCCCTCAGCATGACCAAGGCTGACCTCTTCACTTTACCATCCAAACTTGTTCCTCCCACTTCTCAGAAGTCTGGGAGTTATCTCCTGATCCTCCCTGACCGCCCTACCCCTCCCCGCCAAATGGATCAACGTGTCTTGTTGATTGTTCTTCCCAAGTACCTCTGGCTTGGTCTCCTCTCCTTCCTTCCCACTTCCTACTGCCCAGAATCATCCTTTGGTGTTCCTTGACTCTGCAGCCTCCTTAATAATCATCACACCTATAGCCTCCCCTTGTACAGCCCACCCTGCACTCTACCACTTTCTAGGGGTGATTTTCTATTAATCAGATATAGTTAGCTCACTATCCTGCTTAAACTCTTCCAGAGATCTTTCCTGCTAATGGACAAAACTTAGTCTCATTAGCCAGGCACACCTCATTTTCCAGATAATAATACTACAGAACATTTATTGAGAAGGAGCTCAGTAAGCAGTTGCTATTATAATAATTTACAGTGCATGAGGTGTTGTGCTAAGTGCTTTGTATGCATTGTCTCATCTAATTCTGAAAACAACCATTTGAGGCAGGCGTTATTATCATCTTTAGTAGGGCTGAGGCTCAGAGAGGTTAAGACACTGGTTCATGCGAACCCAGTTAGTAGGTCCCAGTGCTGAGGTTGAAATCCAGGGTCTCTCTGATTTCAGAACTTCAGTTCTCGATCACTATGTTATCCTGCCACTCCCACCAAACCAGTGCTCCTCATACGGAGATGTTCACTCCCTGGGAACCCTGTCCCCATCTGCCTTTCAGGGGCCTTTTCGTCAGTATCCGCTGGAGCCTTAACTCCTGTGTGAAGCCTTCATTCACAGCCCCAGGCAGCCTTAGCCTCTCACCCCCCTCTGCTACTGCACTTGTCATGTTGTGTTGTCACTGCTGTTTGTGTGTCTGCTCAGCACTCTCACTTGTTTTTCACCTACCTCTCCCCAGTACCTGGCACAAAGTAACTGCTTAATCAGAAGGTTGATGGACTAAATTCTTGTCTTGGATGCAATATAATCTCCCACAACTTCCCTCCCACCAAGAACTATCCTGTGTATGTTTCGTGGACTATGGTACCCCCAACCTGGGAGGGAAGGACATGCTGACTTTTGCCAGCTAATAAGTATAATTTCCCCTTACTAACAAGTCCTGAGATAGGCACTGTAATTATCCACACTTATGGAGGAGAAACTGAGGCTTAGCAAGATGTTTAGTTTTGCAAGGCTTGAGAGCTGGTTAGTGGAAATCTGGTATAGGAGCACAGATGGCCAAGAAATGAAGAATTAAATAAGCCTGTAAGGCTTAAAACATGACAGGTATTGAGACCCCAGCACCTCGCCCAGAGAACACAGCTATCCACTAACATCTGGATGACAGCTGGACTTCAGACCAGTAGCTGAAGAAAGAGAAGCTGGATTCCTAGAAATGTGGAAACAGAGAAGTCTGAAAAATGTACAAAACTTGTCTACTGGAATAGATGACAAGAAGTTCAGGGGAACTCTTATAGACATTCAGTGTAAGATTAACCCCATGCTCATGTACCTTTGATGCTGTTATGTGGAATGAGTATTTGTACCCCACCTCTCATGTGACCTTTGTGACCTGGCAAGAGATGCTTCTTATTATTAGTAGTATTTGGTGTCTGCGTATATCCTACAACTACAACTGTATTATAGGAGTTATAAGAATACAATGCTTTATAACCCCCAAGTGCATCTTTGTGCTGATTTTACACCATTGAGTAAGCACAGATAGCTTTCATTGGTTGCTGGTTGGCAGTCTGCAGACTCCCTGATGAAGAGTACAGTAAGGCATGCAAAAGAATAGGATGTCAAGACTCGAGATCTGGGTACCAGTCCAAGGATACAGTGAAATGAATCAATATAAACCCATTACTACCCCTGGAAAAAATGGTATGAGGTATATGCTATAGTTATACAGCTATATTCTTTCCATTTTCATCCATAAGTCAACATACATCTATTCTGTTTGATTCCTTGCCTGTCCTAAGTTCCAGGATCACAAAGATAATCAGACACAGTCCCTGACTTGGAGGGCTCATATTGTGTACTAGTCAATGCTGTGTTGGGGGGGGGACAGCCTAATCATACCTCAGGGGTGAGGGGCTAGGAATGGTTTCTTAGAAGAGGAGTCATGCAGCTGGTATGTCTTGAAGGATGTACGGAAGTGGTCAGGAGGTCAAGGCTAGGGCTGGCAGGGAGCCAAGTTCATCCCAACTGGAGTGAAAAAGGAAAACCCAAAGGCAAAGCTCACTTCATATCCAGGAAGCAGTAAGCAACCAAGTACCAAGGAGAAGTCAGGAGGATGGAGCACAAGAGGAATCTGGGAGCATTGGCTAGAAATAAGGCGGAAAAACAAGGTAGGCTGGAGTTGCGTGAAGATGGTTTTCTTGGCTCAAGTAAGGAGTGAGGGAGGAGCGTTTTGATTTATGATAGACGTTTTATTGTCAGTTTTAGAACTTGTCTTTAAAAGAAATTGAAAAGGTAGGGCGCCTGGGTGGCTCAGTTGGTTAAGCGACTGCCTTCGGCTCAGGTCATGATCCTGGAGTCCCGGGATCGAGTCCCACATCAGGCTCCCT